TGGCCTGATTTTCAGCCCCTTTCAGCCTGTTTTAGGCCCATTTTCAGCCCATTTTCCAGTCCATTTTCGGCCTGTTTTTTCAGCCTGTTTTAGGCATCAGATGCAGGACCCTCGTCCGAATCCTCCCCAGACTCCTGGACTGGTCCCTGTTCTTCCCCACTGTACGATTCTGCTGCTGTCTGCACAGGCTGCCAGCAAACCACAACAGCATCTTTTAAGGCAGGTTCCAGGTTGAAAGGTTAGCTGCGTTGGACAGAATGGGAGAATTTGCCACAGTCAACTCGCCATTGCCAATTCATCGTGGCCAACTCACTGGAAAAGAACTTGCCATGGGCAACTCACCTCTGGACACCTCGCTGCGGGACAATTCACCAATTCCATTTAATTACCTAAAATAGTTTAAAATGTATTTTAATTTTTGTTATTCACTTTTTATTTTGTCCCTCTTTTGGCATCCTTTTTTTTAAAAAATGGTTCTATTTGACTATTTCTTTTATATTAGTGCAACTCCGATCCTGCAGCGAGCTGGCCACGGCAAGTTGACTGTGGCAAGTTGGTTGGGGTGAGTTGACCATGGTGAATTGGCCACAGCAAAGTGTCATAGACCCTGCACAAGGGACTCTTTGGAGGGGGAGCATGTCCCTACAGTGAGCTCCAGCCAGTGACTCGGGGTTTCAAACACAAACTGGCTTGCTTGCCTCCGATCCAGCATTCTAACCACGTGAGCCATCATGCTGGCTGGGGAATTTGGGGAATTGAAGTCTACAGGTCTTAAGGTCACCAAGTTTGGAGACTCCTGACCTATGAGAAGATGCCCCTTTCCCAGAAGACCCATTGTCTCCTTCAAAAGGCCAGTTGTGAAGCTTGGATATGGAATGGGTCCATGTAGGTTTTCCATTGAAAAATGGCATCACTTTAGCAAGAATTTGTTGGAGGCTCATAAATCTTTCAGCATGTCTGAAAGCCATTTAAAAAAAAAAAAAAAAAAAAAGGCCAGAAGCATTTTACACCAGACTGGCCTTTTCATAACCCTTTCCCCTGAAACGACATCATTTACCAATTCAACACTCAGATGAGGGGGGGAGGGAGGACATTGGGCTAAAGAGTCAGGGAGATGCTTAAAGAATTATTTCTCTAATTTCCATGATGGAAATTGTCCCAGGATTACAGCACTCTTTTGTATCTCTCCCGTAAATTATTTAAACTAAGCCAAGCGATCAAAATTTTCCCACCGTCTAAATTATTTAGGGCATAAATGTTTCCTGTTGAATGTCTTTGTGCTCCTATCCTAAATGGGTAAAGTTCGCTTTTAGGCAGTGGGTAGAAATTATACATGAAGCATCTGTCATTATTTTGTGAAGGATGATGGAGAGGAATGAAAAGAAGCTGTTTTCATTAGCAAAATCCATACGTGGTTACTCGTTAATAAAACCCAACAGCTATGGAAACGGGTCTGTTTTTGGGCACCGAGCAATGATGGAGAAAGCATAGATTTGTTTTGGTTTTTAGCAATAGCACTTAGACTTACATACCACTTCACAGTGCTTTCCTCCCCTCTCTTAGTGGTTTACAGCAGTGGTTGCCAACCACTGGTGGTCCGCGAGAAAATTTTGGTGGTCCGCAGAGAAATGTCTCCCCCAAAGCAATTAATCCAGGCTGCGCAGGAACACAAGGCTGCGCCGCCCACATGGCCCACAGGAACACAAGGCTTGCATCGGAACATGAGGTAGTGAGGGGAGGGCGGGAAAGGGCAGAGGGGGGGGACTTGCCTGGCCAGCGGGATGCTTCTTTCCGCTTCTTTCTTCTTCTGCTTTTGGCTGCATGCAAGGAAAGCAGCCAAAGTCTTTCTTTCTCTCCCCCAAACTCCACCAGAAAAGAGTCTTTGGGACCCTGCAAGGCCTCCTGCTCCAAGAGGCTGCACTGGCAAAGATTCGTTTCTGGTAGAGTTTGGGGGAGAGAAAGAAAGACTTCTGCTGCTTCTGCTGCTTTCCTTGCATGAAGCCAAAAGTTTCTTCCTCTCCCCCTGAAAATGAAGCTGGAAATGGTATCCTGCGATCCAAAGTAAAGAACAATCGATCGGAAGGAAAACAGGGTGGGGAATTTTCCTGCAGACTTTTTGGGATTTTCCCAGGAAAATCCCCAAAAAAGTCTGCAGGAAAATCCCCCACCCTGTTTTCCTATCAATCACAGAATACCCCCCCTCCCCCTGAGAACGGAGCTGAAAACCAAATTAGGAATGTGGCTAGATATATGCAAGCCACCGTCAGTCAAAATTCATATTAGTGGTCTGCGGGATTT